GCACTTAATTTATGACTGTAGCTCACTCATAACATAAACGATACATCTTCTTTGGAAAGTGCACTTTATATCCTGAGGAGATAAAAAACATCGCTACAAAGAACATCTTAAAATTTCTATCACTGATAGGAATTAGAAGCGAACTTTAAAAAGGGCGAGTACAAAAGAACATGGAAAGGTCACAGTGTCACAGGATTTTCTGTCTGAAAAAGTCCGTCTTTCAATAGTAACAAAATCTCGGATCTGTTAGAATTTTTTAAATTATTTCCTTAGTCGTTTCGTTACATATAGTTACATAAAGTTTGGTAATATATATTTTTTTTTAATTAACAAATTCAAAACAAATAAGTTATTAATTATATTTAAACGGTATAGTTTATTTATAACATATATTGTCCTACTGCTACATATAGGGAGACCAACTCCTTTCTTTCATTATTTCTCTATTCTATTCTTACTATTTGTGGGCCATTCCATCTTGAATACGTCCAACTAAGTAAATAAAATTAAACATAGTGTCTTCTTTAGAGCTTGATGAAAATCCTTTGACATATTACTCTAATCTACCGCTTAAAGTCTCAAGACGTGAGTACTTCGCTTGCATATGCAACAAAGTTTACTAGCAAACTTACCTTTTCATCTTCGTCTGATGAAATGTGACTGCTGCCGTCGACACAGGTGAATATATTTAATGAAATGTATCTCATACGACATTTCAACGTAATATATTTCATATTTCAATGTTTATATTTCAATTTCAATTTCGAAATTATTTTTAAAGACTATGATATTAACCGGGTTACACACAGCATAGAATAGGCTGCCCCTACCTTTCCCGTGGGTATAGTAAGAGGCGACTAAGGGAGGGCGAGGGAAGGGCAGCAGCGTCCCTCTTAAAACATCTCTAAAACCTTAACTGCGGTTGCCAACCCGCTTGCCAAGCGTGGCAACTACTGCCAAAACTCCCCTTATGGGGAAGGCTTATGTCCAGCAGTGGACAGTTAACGGCTAAAATAATAATAATTTTTGTACTTTGTTTTACTGAACTAGGTATTAACATGCGGAAGTCCATATCACTAGTAATTTGATTAAAATTATTTTGTTTAATTCCGCTACCATTAGTATGAGTGTGGCGACCAACACTCGAAGGTTGACAACCACTATTACTATCAGAAGTTCCACAACCATTCATATTATTATCAATTTTCATCTGCCATTTTATTTACTCACGTTTTGCGACACGTGTTTCAGCTCTAAACGAGACATCTTCAGACAAATTATTAGATCGCTGCTCAGAGCCTAGTGTTAACCGTTCGGCTCCAAACTCCAAGACTACTTTATTTGAATTCTATCTGCATTTTACATTAAATATATAATTTAATTGTAAATAAAGAAAGAACTTATTTTAAAATGTTACAATTTAATTCGTTTTAACCGTATATTTAGTATGTAAATTCAGTTAATCTTATATATCGATTTCTCGTCACAGTATTTGTGACCGAATGAGAATGATTGTAAATACAAAAGAATGGTAGAGGACTTGTATTACGCCGACCCCAAATAAATAATTTATATGAGGAGATTTAGCAGAATTCATTTATTATTTTAAGGTATTCACTTAATACGTTCTTACCAAAAAATAGTAGAAACCAAGATAATATCAAATAAAAGCATTTATAATACGGATAGAAACACTTAAAACAGTTTCCAGATGCAACTGCGCCCTCTCAACTTTCAGTATCTTCTTATAGATCTATTTCTTATCTAAATTGAAAATTCGCGACACCTGCGCATTCCCAATTCCCTTTATAACATGGAATAACAACTACAAGTATTGGACTAGTAGAGTTTCTAGACTGTTATGTTTGAAGTCTTAACATTATCGTCGACTTGAGAATTATACATATTTCGATACGTGAAATATCAATAAACGAAGTAATTAGACTCAAATTATTCATCTGCCCAATTCAAAAGCAGAATCAAAGTTAAAACAAAGAAGGTGCTCGACTATTGGTGTTGAAAACTTGACAATGTATAAACATAAAGAAATAATAAATTTAATCTATTTTAAATAGACTAGTGGGACTTAACGCGACGCAATTGCATGTAAATTGTACCTACTCCTTCAGCTCACATCAGTCTTGACGTGACCACGATGTGATGTAATCCATTTCGAAACCTCAACAATCAGGTATATAGGTACTATTTACCTGCAAGTGTGTCGCATTAAGTCCCGATAATGTATTTAAAATATGTGTAAACAACACGATACTTTAGAATTCAATTATATCAGAATACTCTAATGTACAAGATTTTTCGTAGATACATTTTTTGAATTTAGAATGTGTAATTGTATACTAATGAGCAATTGTTTTTCTGCTAAAAAAATCAGCTTCATTTGTTATAAAATTAATATGGAGCAGACACGCAAGGTAACGACATAGAATAGGCCATCCGTTTCTTTCCTGTGGGAGTGAAAGGTTGGGTAACAGCGGTTCTTCAAAACGATCACCAAAAGCCAAACTGCGGTTGTCGACTCGTCTGCCAGGCATGGCAACTACTGCCAAAACCCCCCTTATGGGGGAGACTATGTTCAGCAGTGGACAGTTAATGGCTGATTCAACGTTCAACAAATACGGAAAAAACCCTATAGATTTTAAAAGGAATATTAAAAGCAGTTAAGAATTGGTAAAACAAACGCGTAACATAGTCACAAAAAAATACGAATAAATTAAAAAGGATTCAATTATTTCCCGTTTCGAACTTTTTCAATTACTTAATAATTGTTAGAATATAATTTTCATATTTTAATAATTTTTCTATGTCAATTCGCCGTTATGTTCTAAATTTCAATATTTAAATTTAGAACCTTTTTCTTTTTTATATAAGTCGCTTAAAAATGTGTACCTACTGTCGAATATCTATCACAATAATTCCTTTCACGTTGTTCCAAATGCTGTCTTCACGTTCCCTCTTTATAACTCCAAGAATTGTGACCCATTTTGTAGATGAAAATCATTTTAATTTCCAAAGACTTTGTATTACAATGTTTTCAATTTATTTAGTATTATTGGCTTTATATTGAAATTACCATTCGTTGGTACAACTTGTGTACCGACGTTGTACTCGTAAAATATATACGAACTCTGTAGAAAATTCTATGCAAATATGAAACTAAATTTATATAGATTATATGAAACTGGAATAGATTGTGTGTCCCAGTTCTTTCACTCACGTACAAATTGAATAATAAAAGTAATAATTAAAGATTATGCCCTACAAAAAAAAGACTTCTAATGTGTCAAAACCAATTATTTTAGTCTAAAAATTAAACTAATGAACCGATTTTGATAAAATTTCTTTGGAACTAATCTGTAAGTGTATTATTTCGAATAAAAAAGGAATTTTCGAAATCAATTCAGAACTGACAAAGTTATGAGGTACATAATAAACATAAAAAATATACAACTGAATTAAGAACCTCCTATTTTTAAAGTCGGTTGAAAGAATACAAAACTAAAATATCTATATACTAATTTAATTATTATTCTAGTAAAAACCGGTTTTATATATAAAACTCATTGTTTACTGTGAATGTTGATAACGCAAACGGTATTTTTATCATGCAACCTAATTTAATTTACATCTAAAGCACCTAGTTCGTTTCAAGTAATTTTAAATACTTATCGAATTAAGTATTAAATTTCCAATGCTTCCCCGTTTTTCCACATTAATTAACAGAAGAACTAAAAGAAAATAGATGCGGTTTTCTATAATGTAACGTTAATGCAAAACTTTATCTTGTATATACATGTACATACATATATACAATCCCAACTTTTTATATAGGTTTTTTATACAACATAGAATGACAAACAAGCTGACGACACATCTGATGGAAAGTGGTAACCGTCGCCTATAGACATGAGCAGTACCATAGACATAATAGAGTATACTGTTTCGTCCATGATACCCCCCATGCGTTGCCATTCTTGAGGATTTAAATGTTATTCCTCTGTACCCTGTAAATTCACTGCCATGTTCCACCCTTCAAACCGAAACACAGCCATATGCTTCACGGTAAAAACACGAATGTGGCAGAGGTGCCCAAGCATACGACTTTTGTATAAAATCTCCCTCTAGTAATTAATCGTATGTGAGTATTTTTAATACATACTTGGGTAAATGCCTATTTTATTCAATATTCCTGAATACCGTCAAGCAATAAGAGTATACCTAAGTTCATCATCATATCGGCCATTGTCCACTACTGAACATTTTCATCCCAACCATCTGGACGAGTGGCGGTCCTCCAACGTGCGTTTTTCAAGGCACTTTCTCCCACGCACAACTACTCTTTGGAATCAACTTCCAGCAGCAATATTTCCGAACCGATACGACAACATAACCTACAAGAAAAGAGCATATTCCCTTTTAAAAGGCCGGCAGCACACCTGCAATGCCGTTGGTGTTGTGGGTGATCATGGGCGGCGGTAGTTACTTACCATCAGGTGAGCCGCATGCTCGTTTGCCTCCTGTGTTGTAAAAAAAAGCAGATCTTCCCCTTAGACAGCTGTAAACAACGGCCCTGTTCCATCTGCACTTACTTAAGTACTTAATATTTGGGAGGGAGGGGGCAAGGGATTGTTAGTAATGCGGACTACCAGTCTTATTGCTAGCAATATACCCTGTCAAGTCGACCTCCACGTAGTCGCCTCTGGAAACCATCGTGCTGAATTCCAGGTTAATTCACACGGTGGTCTAACTGACCTGCTCTTTTATTCTCACCTATCATCTTCCATTGGTGCCCTGCCAGAGTATACCGTTAGCGCAAGCGGGGTTACCATTCCATTATCATTAATTAAAACAACATAAAAAAATAAATTTAAACAGAATTAATTTTATTACACATAGTTTATTTCCTACTTATCTTATCCACTAGGTAGAAGAAATTAAGTACCGTCGTATCAAGTTGAAAGTTGTTGTTGAAATTACGTGAAGTCGAATTGGACCGCTATTTTTCTATATAAAGACGTTCATTCGTAATGTAACTTTAATTCGCTACAATTTGCTTTAAATTGCAAACGATTTTATTTATAACATAACAAATTTAAAATGTCGAACAAGACAGCAATGTTATTACTTGTTATTTTCTTTGTTGCAGCAGCTATTTTTGAGGTATGTTCATAATAAATTATATTTATAAATATTATAATGTGTTGTCGATAAGTCATTGATATATCCTATCTAATAGAAAGTGATAACCTACGCCCATAGACATGAGTAGCACGTTAAACTTTGTCGCATACACTATTTTATTTATAGTACCACTCATTAATTTAATTTATTTATTTATTCTTTATTATAAAAAAAAATTGGTACAAAAGGCGAACTTAATACTATATAGCATTTTCTCTCAGTCAGCCATTTTGTTATAAATGAAGTAATACTTTATTGATGTGCATTTATTTTGTTAAAAATCTTTTCTTTCTTTAATAACTTTATATTTTTATTCTATTATACCATAATTATAGCGCAATATATATATATATATATATATATATATATATATTTATATATTTTTTTTTTTTATTTTAGGTAGCGCAATGTTTACCAAACCCGGATCCGCAAACTTTCATTTTGGACGGTTGTAAGTAATCCATTAAAATCCTTTTCATTGAATTTATTGATAGTATAACCACTATATTGGTACCTATACTATAGTAAGAGTACATAGGAAAAGGGATTTTTTAGTAATGAATATCAGTAACTCCACATGGTTCTCCGTAGAAACAATCTTAGTAATTCTGTGAAATTCGTCACAATGGACTAACTAACCTGATTTCGTCCTCATCTATCATCCTTCACTGGTGCCCCGCCAGCGTATAACGGTACCACAGCCGGAGTTGCCATTTTATTATCACCCTTAAAAAAAATAGTACTAGTACTACGTAGTACTACTCCGTAGAGTACTGCTACTCCCTGCACCTCAATTATGACTGTTTATTGAGGAGACTCCTAATAATTATTTGGGAATACAGTAATAGTGTCTGCCAAAATTTCAACATTATAAAAAGAATCATCGTCATCATAACTGCCTTTAACTGCTCACTGCTGAACATACCATAAGGGAAAGCTTTGGAGGGTTTCGCCAGTAGTTGCCACACTTTGCGGATTGGCAGCCGCAGTTAGGCTTTAGTTTTGAGAGGGACGCTGCCCGTTCTTCGACCTCCCTTAGTCGCCACTTATGACACCAACGGGAAGAGAAGGGGTGGCCTATTCTATGCCGAGACTGCATGGCCATAAAAAAATACATGAACGGATTTTTTTTCTTCAAAATGCAAGTTAATTGAACCGGTATTTAAAAAAAAAAGATTATGGACTTTGGAACATTCTACTCTAATAATATTAAAAAACAGCTATATGTTTCATCATATCTCATCAAAGGAGACAAAAGGGTCTAAATTATATAAAAAACTTCACGTCATTTATAATATGATGCCCTAAACATCTTTTTTTTTTCAGACGATCCAGACGACTATGCCAGTATCTAAATTCAAAGACATTCACATTTCACATTATTTACATTCTTATATAAAGAAAACATTTCTAATTATATTTTTTATGTATTTAATAGCACTCCGTAATGTAATACTATGTACCGACATGAATATATTTGAAAACAACTATTTTATGTATTACTTAGAATAGCTAACAAGCTAACAGCGCACCTAATAGAAAATGGTAACCGTCACCTATAGACATAAACAGTAGCATGGGCATAACAGAGTATTCCCTTTATCGCCCATTACACCCTTCATGCATTGCCATTCCTAAAAACTAAAGTGTTATGCCTTTGTACCATTTAATTTAATTGCCTTTTCCCACGCTAAACCGAAACAGCCATGCAAGCTTCACAGCAGAAACACAATTAAGACAGAAAAGGACTCTTTTCCTGCTTACGTTTTTCCATCCAAATATATGAAATCTACTCCAATTTAAAGCAAATGTAAATAAGCTATCCAGGTCCACCTACCATCTCCAGATTAATTGCGAGGCCCTTCAATAGTAAAAAAATTGGTATCTTTTTTTATTATTGCATTTTTTTATATTGCTTAAATAGCAATGTAAATATTAAGCAGATGATTCTTTTACAAAGTTGTCCTCGATAAAGTAAAAAAAAAGGAAAAATGTTCTCCATTTATTTTTGTATAGCTATCAATTCTGATCCGATTTGCGAATTCTTTTACAATCGATATTATTTACTCTTATGTCCAAAAACATCAAAATGAGAAAAATCGGATCAGAATTGGTAAATATTTTGATATTAATTTTGTTAGGCCTAAAGTCGATATTGTTTTGTTGGAGCAAATTTAATACACAAGTGTTGTATCGATTTCATTGAATGCATACTTTTTCAAACGACAATATTATTTACTTATTAAAATAGGTAATACGTATGTATTATTACGAAAAAGAGGTAAAATGTTAGACCGCTTTATACGAAATGACGATTTTTTAAAGAGCATTCTAGTAGAAAAATAGGACAAAAGAGGAAGTAGAAGATCGAGAAAGAACTACATGGGACAGATAAAAGAAACACTAGGTGTCATGTCGTATAGGAGAATCAAAGATATGGCCTGGGATTGAGCTGGCTGGAAGAAAATGCATAAATTAGTTGCACTGACTACCCTTAAATGAAAAGAGAGAGACATATTATTACAGTTCTATTTTTTACAGTTCAAATTACCTTTGGTGAATTTCTTTTCATTCGCAAAATTCATTCATAACTTTATGTCCATTAACAAGGCATTCATAAAATACAATAAAAAAAAAATTATTATGTAAAAAGTTCGATTCTACGAATTTTTCTGTATAAGACAATATACGTAAATATAGAAAGAAATATTAAATTTATTCATAATTTAAATGAACATAATTCTTATTATTATAAATTCAATGAGTCTAATATGTATTTTGATTTATATCCTGTCAGTATATTATATACTTTACATGTTATAATATTTATTGGAGCTCTAACTATATTAAAACAATAACATAATATATATCCGCCGTGTGTACCTGGCATAGAAGGTATCATCCCTTCCTTTCCTGTGGATGTCGTAAGTCCCCACTTAGAGGACTTAATGGTCGAGGAATGAGTAACAGCATTCCTCTTAAAACATCACCAAATCCTGATTTCAATCGCCATCCCGCCTACCAAACATGGCAACTATTAGCAAAACCCACCCTTATGGGGAAAGCTTATTTTCAGAAATGGATAGTTACGGCTGATATGATATGCACATATACATATCTGTCACGTCAGTCTCCCATTGGGGTAGACAGAAACAATGAAATTCTAAAAACAAATGTTTGTCTTATTTTTTTTAAGAAATGAAAAAAATATCATTTTTAAAGAAATATAAAATATTATACGATAGAGATTATGACAACTACGTATGTAACGGAACATAAAAAGAGCAAACATATTTCCAACATACTCTTAGAATTCCCACGAACTAGCACAAAGAAAACTTACGAGTTTTCCAAACACTTATCTGAAAACTATCAAGTGCTTCGGAACAACGATAAGAGATAATATATTTTAGTGGCTATAAACATTAAATCGAGTTTAACGAGTGTGGCGTCCATTTTAAAAATGCCTTCTATACCGCTTGTTAGAGTGCAGATAAATCTATATTTTACGGCTGGACCGTGTTAGTGATACACTATCCTGCAAGACTTTACCGCATCCATTTAATTAAGTACAGACTCTCATAACCTACTATCATCTTATTTTATCTTATTCCTATTTCTTATCCTTACTAATATAATAACATTGTCACTAGATTATGTCTTTACATGGAAATGACTTGGGTGTCGTAAGAGTTGACTAAGGGAGGGCAAGAAATGGGCAGCGGCGTCCCTCTTAAAACATCTCTAAAAGCCTAACTGCGGTTGCCAACGCGCCTGCCAAGCGTGGCAACTACTGGCAAAACTCCCCTAATAGGAAAAGCTTATGTCCAGCAGTGGACAGTTAACTGCTGAAAAAATATGGAAATGATTTAAGAAAAAATAATATAAGAGGTCTTAATAGGACCAAGAGATGGCAAAATTGTAATTTTTAAAAATTTTGAATGGCTATCTGTCCGTTTGTCTGTATGTTTATTTCGACATAATGTAAATGCTATTGCACCAAATTGAATGCAGTTTTTAAAGTTTTGATCCTGAAGGTCTAACTTAAAATCTGGTGTATATTTTATATTAGTACCCCATCGAGAATTGATCAACACTATTGGTTATTCCTACTTAAAGTTTACTCGTACAAAGTACCGGGAAAAGGCTGGTACAAAAAATTACACATTTATACAATATTTGTTAATGACTTACCCAGTGATTGGTATTAAAAAATTGAATAAATCCTTAAAAAATATAGTTTTCAAAAAAGGGTAAATAAAAACATTTATCAATTATCAATTTGAATTTCGAAAAGAAAATGTGTGTGTGTAGTTGTGTATGTATACTAGGTGATTATAATAATCAAATTTAATAAAATTAAAGACCAAAAGTTGGTGTCTTGAAGTCAATTTATTTTTAAGCAAAATTTTTCTATGCAACTTAGAACGGCAAACAAGCTGACGGCTCAGTTAATGGAAAGTGGTAACCGTCGCCTATAAACATGAGCAATACCATGGACATAACAGAGAGTATACTGTTTCATATGTTACCATTCCTGAAGACTTAGGTGTTCTTCCTCTGTACCCTGTAAATTTACTACCATATCCCACCCTTCCAACTAAAACACAGCCATGCAAACTGGTAGAAACACGAATAAGACAGAGGTACCCAAGTAAACGACTTTTGTATAAAGACTCCTCTGGTAAAATGAATAAATTTTAATCTATAAATACTCATATAATGCAACTTGTGCTATAATTTCCTATATACAATACATTTCTACTGCTTTTATTATCTGAACATCATAAAAAAACTACCTAAGGGAACAAAACCAATCGTCTTATGCAAAAGATAGAAAATTCGAAATGAAATCCTTTATATGCGACAAAACTATAATAAACCATCACGAAATGTAGTAAATATTGCCATGAATGTCATCTGCTGACCTATACAGAGAGCGGGGGCGTGATCCATCTGTGGGTGGCTCCTTTATTAGGAATCTGCAGACATTCAATAGATAAATATTTTATAAGGCGTTGAATTCAGATGTTCTTTTGCTTCTTTCCAGGAATAAATCGAGTGTATCTTCATAGTTATATTTAAGTAGCTGTATTCCGTATTTTCACCCGTCGTTGTATCATGGTGTGAAATTTTTTTTATGGATTTTTTTTATTTATTGGATGATAATGGTATGGCAACCCCGCCCGCGCTAACTGTATACACAGGCGGGGCGCCAGTAGGGGCATGACAGGTGAGAATGAAAAGGCAGGTTTAACTGACCTGCCTTTTCACACTGTGATGAATACATTTGGCATTCAGCACGATGGTGGAAGAACATGTAGAGGTGACAGGTTATACCACTAGCAATGGGACTGGTAGTCCACAATACTACCAAACCCCCTCCCCCCTTGATGTGGAATTGTCTACAGACTTCCTCAAGATTTTTATTTTTATCAAGAATTACAAATTCACTTAACATGAAATCAACAATATGTTTACTAAATAAAGTTACTAGAAAAAACATACATTCGGAAGGTACAAATAAATAAAAAACAGTATTTGCTCACCCAAATATTTATATATCAGATATCAATATATCGATATCGAGCACAGAAATGAACTATCAAATGCAAAAAAATTTAAATCCGACTGATAGTTCAAGAAATAAACGCGTTCAAAGAAACTCTTCCACTTTATTATATTAGTTTCATTGCCGTGTGGTCCCAGCATAGAATAGACCACCCCTTCCTTTTCCGTGACTGTCGTAAGAGGCGACTAAGGGATTTTTTTTTATACAACTTAGAATGGCAATCAAGCTGACGGCCCACCTGATGGAAAGTGGTAATCGTCGCCTATACACATGAGCAGTACCATGGACATAACAGAGTATACTGTTTCGCCCATGATACCCCCCATGTGTTGCCATTCCTGAGGACTAAGGTGACCTCCTAGGAATGGGCAATAGCATCTTTCTTTAAACTACCCAAAAAAAAAGTTAAGGAAAAGAAATTTTCAGTAACTGAAAAAAATTTATGGCCAATACTCTATGAAGTCCACTTCCGAGTCTATCCAGTCTATGAATATTTACACAAAATGCACCGCTCTGAATGGCATACTTCGGAAGCGTTCTCTTACCTGTTTATTCAATACAACTTCCAACTATCCACTGTAGCTCACTCGTCAACCAATCCCTAAACTATTCACCGATCTGAATATATAATGTTACAAATGCCTGGCTATTCGTGTGTTTGTCTGGTCCGACAACCATATAAATAACTTTGCACAGTTTCCAACTTGCCGACTACGAGGATGTTGGTATAACAGATTTTGTATATCTTGAATTTCGTGACTCGACTGGGATATATCGTCGTATATTAAATTTATGGCTCGTTCAACGGGATCCTTATTAAAAATGACAGCGTCTTTATTAAAGAAAATTTCGAAAATAAGAGATCATCAATTTGACGGTATTTTTGTATACGTAAGGATGGAGATGTGTCGTTTAGTA